ACATTCTGCACAACCGCTGGTTAAAAAATTAAGATATCGCTCACTCATTCCCTCACTCTCCCTCTCTCTATTGATAATGATTAATCAGCACAATACGATCAAGAATTCAGAGACAAGTATTCCCTCCCCATCCGCCTAAAAAACTTTGCACCTGATATCCGTTACTCTTGGAATTTCCATGAGATTAACACCTGGTACATCTACTCTTCCACAGTTACTTAGACGAGAATTAACGAGCGGTAAAATGGGACGCGATAAATTTTATATGCTTTTTTTCTTTGAAGAAACAAGGAAAGAAACCACAGGGAAGGAACGCCATGAAAATGCAACTCCAGCTATAGCAACCAAACAGAGGTTTCCAGGTATGACTACGATGCAAGATGCGCTAATGGCTAATAAAAATGCTTAGTTATTTTTAAAATTAGAACGGTAAATGATGCGGTCCTAAGAAATTCGCCACCATACAACTGCAAAAAAATCGGTCAGAATCATGATATTCTGCGTCAAATTTAACAGTATTGATCTCAAGGTGAACGAGAAAGACTTTACGACACTCGTAATGTAAGGGAGAAAATACAAAATTTACCGCAAGCAGTGAAATTGGGGACCTGTCAAAAAGTGAAAATCACCAAGACTATTTTTTAAATCTACTGAGAATGCGAAATCAGACTTTTCACACTGATATTTTGCTGGTTAAGAAAGTGGAAAAAAATGATAATTCGATTGCTCAAATTAGTCCAAAACTGCGAAAAAAAGTTAAATTTTTCGCCTAAAAGGAAATAGAAGAATAGAAGGATTTCACTTGAATGTCATGTGTATGAAGACATTTTATGACGCAGTATGTGTTTCAGCCTAGAAGGAAAACTGATTCACAAAGAGGAACAAAAAAAAAAAAAAATCAAAAGTCAATTCGTAAATTCGAAACTGGCGAATCGCTGCAGATACTTCCCCGAAAAGAATCCGGGAGCAAAAAGAGATAAGCTTTTCTAAATTCCAAAATTCAGGATTTTTCAATGAAAAAAAAGGAAGTTTGCAGTGAAAAAAAAAGGACCTTATTTAGTGTGCGCGGCTCACTCCAGTTCGACCTTATTTCGTTATCACTCAGAACTTCGCCTTCTTCCAAATCATCATCGCTGTTGCTCGACGCGCTCACTTTTTTCTGTGAATTAATAGAACTGTTAAAATCAGGTCTGACAGGCTCATCTGCCTTCTTTTCCTCTCCCTTCCCTTCCCAAATTTCCTTCTTCTCCCTTTGTCCAATGCATTTTAACGCCTCACTGCCTTTCCTCCGTTTTTTTTCCCTCTTCAACTCATATCATCCGCTTTTTAAGGTTTTGGAGAAAATATGAACAAAAAATGAAAGAGTTGTGAAGAATTATTAATGTTGTTAAGGAAATGTTTCGGTCCATTAAGTCGTATACATTTCTTGTCACAATCATTTTGCACAAAAGTTATTTATAAACTTAAACTTAAAACTTAAAAACTCAATTTTTTTGGACTTAGAACTTATCTTTTAAATAAAAATCGGTTTTGAAATCTATGGAAATGCAATTCTGAACCAAAAAAGACTGTCAAATGCAAGGAATGATAAAATCTACAATTACCTCATCTTTTCGAGTACCAGCTGCTGGGCACTCTATGGACGAATCCCGTTCTGAAATTAGCGAAAATCGCGGCGTTTGATCGACTGGAATGCCTGATTGTGCGACATCCTGTCTTCCACTGATCACATCGCTGCAACAAGGAACATGAATTTCTCCAAAACATATGGTACTGCTTGCAGAGATTCTAGAAAATGCTCGAGATGTGGAAAGTGAAGCAGTGGAGTGAACCATTTATACTCGTTTAACAGCTTTTCTCTTCAAAATTTCATCTTTTAACAGCTCTTTTCTTCAAAATCGCCTTCTATTTGCTATATGTTGCTTTTATTAAAGTGATAAAGAAAAATTATTACGTAAGCAAGTAACTGGTGAGATCCAATTCGGTGGTTGAATCAGCAACAGCAAATTCCGTCTTTGACTCTATAAAAACATTTTAGATAAAAACTGCATTTTATATAAAAACGAACCCACTTTAAAACGCCTTGGCAAAATCGAAATTACATCTGCGCTGGAGAAAATACCACGGCTTCTAATATCTGGACGATTTCAGGACTCCGTCCTCTTCCAAACTCCTAGCCAGAGATATTCATTGTTTGTATCTCCAAAATTTCACTTCCTTCTTACTTCTTTCCTCTTCTCCCGTCTCTCCCCCTTAACATTATTTTCACTATTACATGGCAGTTAGAGAGCTGTGCTGATGATTCCCACCCCTAACCGCACCACGTACAGTCTGTTGTTTACAGCTTAGGGATGAAACACAGGCAGCTCCTTCTTTTACATATTACTCTTCACATGATCCTTCTACATGACAAACGGTTTACATACATTTCCCACTTAACAGTCTTCTCTAGCCTTCACCCCTTTCGAATTATTGGTCTGCTGCCACCGGCCGGAACGTTCTTTTTAATTTGTTTTTCCTAACTCAGCCCCTCT